TCCTCAGTGTGCACAGTTCGATTGAATCTTGGATTTTAGATTTAGGTGCATCTTTTTTCATTCGTCTCCAAATAAAGAGCTGTTTCAAAATTTTAAGTTTGGAAATTTCAAGAATGTGTATCTTGCCGACAACAAAGATTTGAAGATTGAAGGAAAATGAGATGTATGCATAAAAAACTGCGACAGGAAATCAGTGGACATTAAAAGATGTCAGATATATTCTTAGTTCAAGTAGAACCTGATCTCTATTGGTCAGTTGGATAGCACAGGTTATGCAACAAAGTTTGGTAAGAGTTCGTGGAAGATTGTGAAGGGTGCTATGGTGGTAGCACGTGGCACAAAATCTGAAACTTTATACACCACTGCAGGGTGTATGAACAGAGTTGCTGTTGCTGAGAGTGCTTCAAATTCAAGTATATGGTACAATAGACCTGGACATATGAGCGTTAAAGGAATGAAGATGTCGGGTGCGAAAGAAGTTTTGGAAGGTCTAAAATCTATTGATATGAGTCCTTGTGAGAACTGCGTTATGAGCAAACAAAAGCGAGTTAGCTTCACAAAGACTGCCAGAGAATTGAAGAAAGATATCGGGACAACAAAGCAAGTGGGAGTTGAGGTAGAGTTGCAGAACAGTTCATAGAGTGATGTTGTAGCGGATACTCAAGAAACTCCTGAGACTGTTGCTGAGGAACCAGAGGTGAAACAAGTGGGAGTTGAGGTTGAGTTGCTGAAAGATTCATCTAGTGATGTTGTAGCAGATACTCAAGAAACTCTTAAGATTTTTGCTGAGGAACCAGAAGCAGAGCAAGTGACACCTGAGCAGGTGTTGAAAAAATCATCCAGAGCCATCAGAGTACCAGATAGGTATGTACCTTCTTTACACTATTGGTTGAGGACTGATGAAGGGGAACGAAAGCCATTTGATGAGGACCGACAGTTTGAGGATACAACTAAGTGGGAGCAAGCCATGGATGATGGGATGTCTAAGCTTTAAAAATGTGTTGCTCTTTCATCTGCTTAGGCTGAGTACGTGGCAATAGCTGAAGCTGGAAAGGAGATGATATGAATGACAGACTATCTAGAAGAATTAGGCAAGAAGCAGCGCGAGAAGATTCTTCAGATAGATAGTTAGAGTGGCATGCAGTTGGCAAGGAACCCGGTCTATCATTGAAATTCAAAACACAAAAGGTGATACCATTTCACTCAGGTTTGTGGAAGATGGTGATGTGTTTGGAGAAGATAGAGGGGGCAAGAGATCAAGCAAACATTTTGTGTTGATGTTGGAATATTGAGGTTGTGCAAAGCCTCAAGTGGTGTGGTACATATTGAGAATAAAATTCTTGACTAGATTAGTTTCCAAGTGGGAGATTGTTGAACCAATTTCTAATGGGGAGATTGTTGGGGTTGACGGTATTAGTCTCAAAGTTCAAAGTGGTAGATTGTTGGGATATGGAGCTTGATGTCTATATCTGGTAGAGATATATTTAAAAGATATTCAATAAGGATCTGATAGAGATATATACCTAAATTGAAACCATATATACTTGTTAGACAGTGCTCTCAAAATGTACTTTTCTTCGTTCATATTCAATCTTGTTCTAAGTACGTGAAGTCATCAATAATAAAAACTTTAGCCAATATTCCTTCTTGTATTTTCACCTTTATCCAATATTCCTCATTGTATTTTCTCTCTCCTGTTCTTTGTGTTCATCTTGATCGAGTGTGTGCATTGTTGAGAAATCCTAACAATTGGAATCATAGCTAACAACTAGTATCGATCCTAACATTAACTACAAAAATTTTCATTTATTTTTATATTTTTCTTTAGAAAAAGAGCATAAAAAATGGATATCATATAAATCATTTTAGCAATATCTTTTTTCTACTTTACTAATTAGATTTTAAAATATAGTGTAACCTATAAATTGAAGTACAATTTATAGGTTGCACTATAATCCTAAATAATAACAATGTCTCGTGTAACTTTAATTTCACACCTACTTTAATTTAATTTCTCCTAATCCATCTTCATCAATGCTATGTCAATAATTTTTGGTAGTGTATTTAACAAAAGTTTGAAAATATAGAAAAACTTAATGTGATCTAAAATATAGGCCTACCCATTAATGCGATCCAAGAATTAATCTCGTTTTGACTTATTGCAACGAAAAGATTTTGATAATTAAGACATAGAAGAACCACGTAGTGGTTGTCGTAGGGGTGAACTTATGGTTTGGGTTGGGTAATCTAAATGGATTGAATTATCAAATCAAATGAAACCCCTATGGAAAGAGTATGTGTAATGACCTATGTCCAAGAGTCAGATCAGGATTCATAATTCAAATTTGATGGCCCCGACATTCTCTTGTATCTTGTACAACAGGTCACGTTACCTATTTCTCGCTTCTTAAGACTGAACACTGTCCCGATAGATTTGTCATCACTCATCTGCATCCCAGAAAAATTCATGGGGGTCATCCAACATAACCCAACATAGTATTGCTCCAAGTAAAACCTACTTAACCTGGAGTGATAGAGCAACCGAAAAGGTAAGTGCACTTTATTGGTATAAGTAGTAACTTTAATTTCCTTTATGCATTTCTTAGCATCCTATAATCAAGATCGGTCTCATTTAGATGTGGTCTCAGTTCATTCATATACCATTCTTTTAGTCGGGTGTCACATGCCCACTAACTTCCACCTTGGTTTTTTCCCAAACTACATCTTTTTGCAAGAGGTATTGGGAATCCTGGGCATGAGTCGGTACAAATGATATCAAAGTTCTAAGCTTTTAGATTATGTAAACTAGCCTATGATGTAGGCTCAACGTGTTCCCATGACTATGCAACGAATGTCTCGTCACCATCAAATATGCCTTACAAAAGATAATAAATGAAAAATATTGAATGTTGCCTATGATTAATCCTTGTCTTTGTGTGTAATGTGATGCAATATTATGTGCGAATGATTTATATTTTAAGATTTTCATTGTTTTGATAATTCACATGTTTATAGTTAACAAGGTTTATATGTGGTCGTGAAGATTTAATTTCATGAAATGAGGTTAGTAATCTACTAAACATTAGTATATGCATGAAAATGTTTTTGTCGAGAAAAGCTAGATGTTTCAATAGAAAAGAAAAGACGAGTGATTTGAGATTACCAAATGAAAAACTTGCAAGCTACATGAAAGTTCAAAAACGGTATACTCGAACATATTTGTAAATGCCACTTATACTCCTCATTTCCCAATCTTGCAAACTTCATTAAGGATATAGTCTCGTAGACGACTATGATCACTTGTTTATTTTCATACTAGCAACTCCAGTCGGTAAATGGCTCTACTTTTACTATGATTGGATGCATTGAATGATGTATGAACGACACATGCTATGTGACCTCCTCATGTATCATAGTTTATAACTGATATGACATGAATTATGTGATGATGCACACTATGTTAGCATGCTTATTTTAAAGATTGTGAAATGTTTATATGCTAAGAATGTATTCATGAAAATGCTTATAAAAGATAAATGTACTGTCAACATATTATGTGATTTAAAGCTATGGGGACCTTATGTTTTTTTTTCCTATCATATGCATCGAAATACTTCCACAATATGATTAGTATGGATGCATACCTTAAAATATTTATGTTCAGTCATAATGTTGTGGTGCGTTATTGTACGCACCACAATACTATGCTAGCTTCTTTCTTTCTGTAGCTTTGGCATCGCTAGTGTGCGTTAATTGAAAAGTGTAAGAATGAGAAATAAAATAGAAATAGAAATAGAATTGGGAAGGTGTGTATTCTCATTGATATTCATAAGCTTTAAATAGAATACAAGCAGACAATTAATAAGGAAAATATAAACTAATTAAATATTAAGAATAAAATAAAATATATTACGAAACAAATCATAAAGAAAAGATATAATATTGAAGATATATTCCATAACTAAATATATTCTTCAATATCTAACACTGCCCCTCAAGTTGGAGAGTGTATGTAATCACATCCAACTTGTCTTTACAAGTGTAGGTCAATAACACCCGAGTTGTCTTTGAGAAGAGAGTGTAGGTCAATAACACTTTTGTCTTCCTAGTAATGAAAATATCCGCAAAAAATAGACCCCTTTGATTGGTTTACATTTTTAGACTTTCAAGAAATTATTGAATTTATAAAAAAGATGCAAAACCAAAAAATAGACAGCCTTTCATTGATTTGGATTCTTAGACTTTCAAGAAATTATTGAATTTCCAAGAAAGATGCAAAACTCGGAAATAGACCGCAATGATTGACTCGATGATTAGTAACTTGTCCCATTTAATTTGATTTGGAACAAGTGAATATCCTCCCTGATCACTTCTTGGTCCATTCATAAATGATTTATTGGATAATAACACCAAGATCGGTGCTCTGGATCACTTGAGAGGTTGGGAAAGAAAATACGAACATCTTGAATATGTCACCTTTGAGCTTGGTGAGAAATTTGAAGATGCTTATAACGTATTCTTGATATTGGATGATCGGCGGCTATAAAGGCTTCACTGATTGGTTAGGGTTTGGCTTTAGGTTTAATACTCCCCTTGGACTCAGAGTCCAATGGGTATAAGGAATACCAAGATCGATGGTCTATACCATGTTAAGAATGAAAAATAGAAATAGATAAGGAGAAATTGATCGTCCCCTCCTCGTGACATCTGTCTCTTAAACTAACTGAATAATTGGAATTTATTGTTAATACTAAAATATATATTTTAGTTACAATATAATTATTCATATATTTTAAAATTTTATTCTGCCACCATTATTTTTAAAAAATAAAAAATAGAAATTGAGGAAATTAAAATGTAGGAAAATAAATGGGATTATGAAAGCATATTTTAGAGGTTTTAGCGTGATTCTCGCTAAAAGCGCAGTTCGTAGTTGACCGCATACACAATACACACTTGATACACTATAAACCCACGCCTCGCCCTTTGTGCTTCGCCTTCTTCATCTTCATCTTCATCTTCATCCACCTCTTCTTCCAAGATCGGTGCTCTGGATCACTTGAGAGGTTGGGAAAGAAAATACGAACATCTGGATCGGTATGGCAACCCTAGAGGGGGGGTGAATAGGGTTTTAACGATAAAAGTGTTTAAACTTGATTAATTTTTCTAATGATAAAACTTTTTACAAATAAGTAGAAGATGATAATTACTAAAACAAAATAATTCAAGTCAAAACAATAATCAAGTAGAACATGCAATAAACATAATAATAATCTTGAAATTAAATAGGAAAGAGTTAGAGAAAATGACACCGTAGTTTTATAGTGGTTCGGTCAAACTCGACCTACTCCACTCCCCAAGCGCCTCTTGGGAATTTGAATAAAGAACTTTTCCGACTCTTTCCACGGATCAGAGCCAAACCGGTACACCGCTCTTTTTACGAGTTCAAGAGCAAACTCAATCCTTTCAACGAC